ATTTCAGGCACCCATCAGTGTCATGCAATGAGCCTGGTCATTGAATATGCACACTAAATTGAGGTAGGGCATAGGCACCACCTTTACTTGAGTCAAGAATTCCATGTTGAGAACAAGCTGAAATCATCCATGGGCACAACAAAGATGTATATCTTTCCTTCTTAGTCACCAAGTTACAAGACTACTCCACAAGCGACACCTTGTATGGGTTTGGCATTAGAGTTCATGACCTTCATCCAACCAACTTCCTTGGTGGGGGCAAGTCCCAATCTAGTTGCCTCTTCAGTAGAAACAAAGTTGTGTGTGGCACCTGTATCCACCATAGCATTTGTGGGTGTACTGTTTAGGCAAATCTCTGCATACATCAACCCCTTTTGCTTGAACTTTGGTATTTTCTATGAGCTCTTCTTCTTCTTCATTGCATTGAGTCTTTGTAGAGCTCCCATCCTTGTCTCCTCTGACTCTTTCTCCTTATCATTGTGTTCATCATCACTAAGCTTGGCAAGCAAGGCATTCAACTTCTCATGACTAGGATGTGAAGGGATGGGAGATCCATCATATGGATGGCCGAACCCTGTAGGAAGGTTGGGCGAAATTTCAAAAATTTCTTTTCTCCCATCGGGGAATCACATTCCCTAATTTAGAAAACTGCATTTTCAAGGGAGGAGAGGGATATACCTGATACGAAGTAACAATAACTCCCAATTAAGGTGTTCATGCCCAAGGAAAAGACCAATACCCGCCTCCACTGAATATGACACAGTGTGTGGTGAAGTAGAATCAGCAAGATGACTCTTCAACAAGAACCGAAATTCTTCAGCAAGAATGAAACAAGGGCTGGTGAGCACGACTTCAGATTGTTTTGTCAGCCAAGAATAGTAGAGAACTCTACAGATTGTTGTGGGACCCTAACATTGATCTACACATCAGCCACATGGGTTCAGCCCAACTTTTTTACAAGGCTTGGCCAAATTCACTGTAGAAGACAATGAACCCCTGAATCCATCACCATGGGCTCTTAATGGGTCCAACATTTACATTAAATGGTTATTGGATCCGACCACCTTATGAAAACCTAATAACTGTGGGCAGATGCAAGATTAGCCCATCAGGTATTACCCTCAATGGTCTTACACTTAACCTCTCAGCCCTTAATGATCAAACACTGCCCGACAAGAGAAAACCTCTCCCTCATATGCAAGGTACAATGTTGCATTCTCTACTCACATAGATCCCGGGAATTAAAACATTTTGCAAATATTTTGAAACCATAATATATATATATATATATATATATATATATATATATATATATCTATATAAATATATTTTTGAAGAAACAAATTTCAACGTTTGAAATCAACTGCTGGTACTTTAGGTTTCCATCAGAGAGTATGCATTCCCTGATCATTCACTTTGTCCAACAAAGGGGTTGATCCTGTCACTATGATCACCAACTCAGGTGAATTCTTGGGCTGTCCCAACATACCCAGGTTTTAACCCCCTCTAAGGATCTCACTGATTGGCATATCAAAGACAACCAAATCCGACACCTAGTGCAGTATCATAATCGAGTATAGGGGTTAGGTGTAACATTTCAGTTTTACTCATCTATCTCCAAGGTCCAGGGTTTCAAGAAAACCCACACTACATGTACCTTAGGTCTCACCCTGGTAGCTGAGACAAGCTACTCAAACCAACTTGGCAATAAATCAGTGTTAGCCTTGGCATGATAGATCTCCCCAGATCTATCCAATGGCTGTGAWGATTCTAAACTAACACGAGTCTCATAAAGTGTCCAATTTAAGGGTATTACACAAAAACACATCAAATCACATGAATCAATTATGTACTCTATTCATTTACAATAAATGACATAATGTACATCAATCTGATTGGAGCTAAGGGCATACATCGTTTAACAAGATGGTCCTTGGTCCAATGTTTTTCCTCATAGATGAAGCAAGGTGAGTGATAAGTCATCCCTCCAAATTGGCTGCCCTTGTAGCCAGTCTCCCTTGGGTCTCTTGTAAAACTTGATTTTTTTTTTGGATTTGCTTGGCCCAGAGTCCCCCTTAGGCCCATAATAAGGTTTCTTGTTACCTCCTACCTTGCTTTAGCCTTGATATGTGCTGGGTTTAGGGCCATCATTGCTTGGTCGTTTGTTGTCCACTAATTGCTTGGCAATAGTCATGGCTATGGCGAGGTCCTTCACACCTTGTCGTTGAAGTTCAAGCTTGACCCACTGTTTCAAGCCATCCATAAAGTTAAACAACAAGTCCTTGTCTGATCCGCGATCTCGAGCAACAGTGCAAAGAACTCCTTCACATACTCATGCAACGAACCAATGTGCTTTAAATTCTTGAGCTTTCGATAGGCTTGGTACTCGATGTTCTCTGGGTAGAATTGCCACTTTATATTGCTCTTGAATACGACTTAAGTATTAGTGGAGCATAAGCCTCGCTTTGCATCGGCACATCTCTTATGCCACCATAACATAGCAACATCAGTTAGATACATAACAACAGTGCGAACCTTGGTCGCCTCCTCAACAAGTTTAGTGGCGGTGAAGTATTGTTCCATTTTCCACTGGAAGTTGTCAAGTTCCTAGGTTTCTCGGGTCCCTGCATGCAGGGTAGGCTTGCGAGTTTTGATCTTTGGAAGTGTTGGAGCTGTAGGGGTGTTGGCGGCAGCTATCATCAGTTTCTTCAAAAGGGTCACTTCACCCTTCAAGTCCTCGAGCTGGGTTTGTATGCACTTCACCAAGTCCTCTAGTAGGTTGCTTGGTCTGTTAGGATTGTCAATGGACTGCTCTTCCAATCTTTCAACAACCGTTTCCATCATTTCAAGGTTGAGATGAAGATCATCAACACAATCACAAGTTTCACCAACCACTATTTCACAACACATGGTGCATTTGTCCATGGCTGCAAGATTTCTCATGCTTGATAGCCTTTGAGCTGATGCCTTTCTCTTTAGGAGAGCTACCTCTAGGATCGTTGCCGTTGTAGACCTGTGAGATCCCTTCTTGTATTTCGGCTTGAGTCTCTTGTTTCTTCATCTTGTTGGCATCAGTGCGGGGCACGTCGAGGGACTATGTGGGCTTGGCAGCTACTAATGTCAACCATGCTCTAATACCAACTCATACGGAGCTATGTGTTGGGGCCCTGTGTGACACTCGATTGTAGTCGAGAAAGCCTATGAAGTAAACAAAGCAAGTAACAAGGCAACAACAAACACACACAAATTAGATAAAAGTCTCTTTGTATTGTATAGAATGACAACAAACACAAGTGCATAAATTTGTGTCAAGGGGATCTCGTGCTTAACCCTTATACGGTCTTAGCACCACTCAATTACCACATCTTTTCAAAGAGTAGGTTAATCTTTTGGGGCTTTGATGAAAGGATACATCAAAATGTTGAAAAATCATACTAGTATTTACAATATTGCCATTGGCATACCCCCCTTTTACAAAAAGCATACAATGACACACCCAATACACACATGATGGCACTTAGATGGCATGCTGATGGTAATGTTGGCGGATGAACCATCACAGTGGGGTACATATGGGGTGCACTCTGTGAGGCACCAATGCGAATTAATCCAATCCAATGTGATGAATAATTTGGATTATTTTGGACCAGTCCAATTCAATATTTGGACTATCCAGTATGTTCAAATTGGTTTTAGTTTAGATTGGTTTTAACCCAAACCTGATCCATTGACATTTGTATTCTTATCTTTTATCAATGAACGAGATATTAATTCAATCTTAGCCCAAACCAATATCGATTCTATTAAGAATGGACTGAATCCAATAAATACTTGATATGTCCAATCTGCCCATATTGGTTAGAGACACTGAGTCCAACCCATAACTAACACATTGACGTCCCTAGATGTGCGAATACAAACCATCAGAATGTGCTCCTCATAGAGACACTAGATTGCTTGAGGAAGCGCAACAAGCAACGAATTGAATGCTAGTGCTCAAACCATTGCGCTAACGTGCAACCGAGCAAGCAATGACTGGATTCAACACGCTAGCGCGTGTATCCGTTTTGAATCTTGCTGCTCTGGCTTTCGAGCTAGCAAGCATTTATAGTCAAGTCCTTGCACGCTGTAGTTTTTCAGCTTGCTCTCGACAACAAGCAACGGATTGAGTGCTAGATTTCCGACGTAGATTGAAATCTTTTTACCATCTCACTCTATAGATTTTCGATGTAGGAAGGTACCGGTATGTGTACTAGCACATGTCAATTGGTTCTTGACACCTACGAATTGGGATGTGTTCCTCACATAGCGCTCCTTACATCGGCCTCACAACCACATCCCACTATGTATTTGGAACATCTCCTATAAATTTCAAGTATGGGAGATGTGAATCTGGATCTCCTGCCCACAAGAACTCTGCCCATGTTTACCCACACGACATCGCAACCACATATGGGAAATATCTCATCTTCCTACATAGTATTATGCACGGAGAGATGTTCCCAATGCACGGAGGTGGTGTGTCGTGGATTGACGTGAGCAAAGTTCTTGTGGGCAGGAGATCCGGAGTCGGGAGATGTTCTCAATGTCCGGCTTGGGAATACTGTGAGGTTGGTGTGAGGAGCAGATCCGGACTTGACATCCGTAACTCGCCCTTCTGGCTGGTTCGCTCGAACCGCTTCAATATCAGTGCCTCGGGCCTCGGGCAGTTAAACTTCGAATCAATTTTCCATATAACAGCATCTTGTTGGGATGCGGACTCCCTCCCCAGGCGCAGTTTAGAGAGTAGTGATGTCTTTCGTTGTCGGCACGGGACAATAAAGTGATTGATGAATAAAAGGCCGAGCAGAAACAACCAAAAGCTATCATGCGCACTCTGTACTATAAATCCCTGGAACCTCTACAGTCCACACTTGCTACCAGTCACAGCCAAAACTGCAAGGAGCAGCTCTGAAACTAGAAAGCAAGTAAATTATTAATTTTTTTATTTTAAAAATCTAAAATCTCTTCAACTGATTGTTCACTAGCAAACCTGATTTACTTCACGAAAATGAGAAAGGATTAGGCATCTGATGCCTAGACTTTGATTGCTTCATGGATTTCTATATCTACTAATGACGTACTGTTTTATTTTATTTTATTCTATATATATATATATTTTACGTTTTCGTCGCCATTTCTGGGCTTTCCTAGGGTTTTTGTGATAATGTAGCTTCTTTCGTTGTCTTTGAAGGTTCAATTGATAGGGCATATGCTGTGGAGCTGTCGTTGGATTGGCATTCTATGATTCTCTGGACTCGTCTATTTAGCTTTGGAAGCTTGAACTTGTAAAAATGTTTGGGTTTTCTCGAAGGCGGTTGAAACTTGGGAGGTTAGACTTTGTTTGTTTGTTTCTTTTCTTTTTTCCATCTTTGGTTAATGATTTGGAAGCTGAAGATCTATACAAAATTTGAAGAGGCGTCAGCTGAGATGAAATGTCCACAGTGATTTTGGAGTGTTCAAGTTTATAACTTCTAAATGTCTGAACAAAATGGGTTATAAATATCAACATTAAAGCTCTGCAATTAAAACATTAACCTTTGAGCTGCAAGAACTACAATTTTCCAAAATTGTCTTAATTATGTCCCTGAGATTAACGTATAGAAATCCTGTGGTTACAGTAAAAGTAGCAAGAAATGATTTGAGGACCCATAATTTAGCAATGGAAATTTAACATTTTCCACTTCATTTTCCAGGTGGAAATTTAACACTCATTCTTCTTTCTAATTTTTGTGCCTTGATTGCTGTGTAATTAACATTTTTATTCATATTTTTTAGTTCCTTATCGTTAAAAAATTCTATTTATATAAATATGTGTCTTCTTGGTCCTAGGCCATGTTGCATAGACTCTCTTAAATGGACAATGGGACATGCGTTGGAGTCTAACATTCCACAGTTTCTTGAGGGCACTTTTACATAACATTTCCTTTTTATCTGCTAGCTTAATTGACATGAATGAACTGATAAGATGAATGCCATTTTTGTATCAAACATTACTTAGTGACAAAGACAACATTTTAGACCCCTTCTTGCAAGTATATAGTGTTAGAATTCAAAAAATATGAACTATTTTAATAGTATATACTTTTCCATAGATGTGTCCATCAATCCATGTTTTCTCATTTTGCCAAGTCAGTTT